AAAAAAAAAAAAAAAAAAAAAAAGAATTTAAAAAACTAAACAAAAAACCCAAAGTGTTTCTACCCTTCAAAATAATTCTAGAAACGTTATTTGCTCAAAAGACAGCTCAGGCTGTCTTTTTTAAAAATTCTTCCTCTTCCACATTGCTATTGCTTTGTATGTGATTTTTATTTAATTTTATTTGAGAGAGGGTCTCATGTACCCAGGCTGGCTTCAAATGCCCTCTGTAGCCTAGGCTAGACTTGATCCTCCCTAGTATTATCTCCCAAATGCTGGGATTAGTCATTTGCCACTACATGCAGTTTAAGATTTTTAAATTTTATTATCTATTTAGCTTTAAATATTTGTCTTCCCTATCTATCTATCTATCTATCTATCTATCTATCTATCTATCTATCTATCTATCTATTTAGTATGGTTTTTTGAGACAGCATTCCTCTGTGTAGCCCTGGCTGTCTTGGAACTCACTCTGTAGACCAGGCTGGTCTCGAACTCAGAGATGCACCAGCCTCTGCCTCCTAAGTGCTAGGATTAAAGACAGGCGCTACCACTGGCCTTTATTTTTATTATCATTGTATGTATGCTGCATGTGAGTATGTGCAGGTACATGTATGTATGTACATACGTACGTGTATCATAGCACAGAAAGGCCACAATGTGCATGTGGAGGTTACATGACAGTTTGGGGGAGTTGGTCTCTCTTCTGTAGGTACCAGGGTCTGTGGCAGGCACTTTTATCCACTGAGCCATGCTGTGGCCCTAGTTTAAAACTGTAAACCAGTATAATACTGTCACGGAATAAGCAAAGTCTTCTAGAGTCTGAACAGATGTTTCAAAGTGAAAAAACAAAGACATTCAGCTCTTTTTTTTCCCTAGAACTCTATATTCTCAACACTAAGTTAATCCTAGGGAGGAACCGTGGCGCTACCAACTTTCTTTCTCAGAGCTCTAGTGAGGAAGGAAAGACTTGACACTACAGGGCTCTAGGTCATCTATGGAAAAGACAGAAGCTGGTTGACAGACACTAGTCACTGGTCAGAAAATGGAAAGTTTACAACTGGCTACAACTAGGCTACAACATCGTCTGTAAAATTCTTTCGCACAAGGTTAAACTGAGGACCATGTGAATGAGGCAGGTACAATCAACTAGCAGTTCTTAGACAATAGGCACTGAGGTAATGCTTGTTGAAATTCTGTAGTTGCAGTGTAATAAAGCTAAAATAATTTTATATATTTCGTTTTCCTGAAACAATGGACTGAGAAAATAGCACTTGTGAACAAAGTGTGAAGATACCTTTGGAGGAAAGGACTAAGTTCTGAGTATTCATATATCACTACCTTGCTACACCTCCATAATCTAATCCTTCTTCTCCTGGGAAAATCACCCACAAACGTCTTCTCAGATCTTGCGGGCTGAAGCTCATTATCTACAAAACAAAGTAAGAGAACTGTGACTGCAATTGTGGAAACATCGCTGTCCTTTCCCACTTACTCCAGTATAGGCATGAAATAGAGCGTTTACAGTCTAGTTAACATGAAATACAGTCTAGTTAACACATGAAATAGAGCGTTTACAGTCTAGTTAACATGAAATACAGTCTAGTTAACACATGAAATAGAGCATTTACAGTCTAGTTAACAGTACACATACAGAAATACATTCATGTTCCATATAGTTACTATATGCATCTATTTTTTACATACTTTTATACACTTCTCCATGAAACTTACGAAGCTGATCTATCAATTGTGTAGTATACAGTGGTTGGGGATTACATGTTTTTTTCCCATTCCTCCACTTAGGGAGGAAAGAGCAGTAGGGCTGGTTAGGTTTGGTATTGTTTCACAGTCAAAATATCCACATATTAACTAACTGACTAACAGTTACTGCAGATTCACTTATCTTTGGAAATACACACAGTGGGAGTCTAAAATTAAACAGAAAAACTACTACTTTGCCTTCCACAAGGGTGGTTAACAGTGTCATCTTCAGAAATGAAGGGCAGCAGCATTACCGAGCTACAGTAGATAGGCCAATCTGTTTCTCCCTTGGTAAAATTATGTAATTACTTCCGCTTAGAACTCATAGAGGCCTGAGAGGGATAGACAGTTTGATAGAGAGTAAATTGTTAACACTTAAAAATCCAAAGAGGATCAGTAAGTTCTCAGTTCCCTGTGAAAGAGAACAAACAACATGCAGGCGTGACAGACAGTCTATGCTGACATGCACGTTTACAACAAATACCCCACAAGCACCGTAAGCTGGGCACTGAGCTACACACATCTGAGAGATGCCACAAGGTTACAACTAGTTTAAAAAGTTCCCTTTACCAGGGCTAATGAGAAAAGACTTTTCTTCTACACTTACCACCATAAACACTTAGACTGTGCTAGTAAAAAAAAAAACCACCATTTAAAGCAATGTTAGCCAATACCTATAAAGAAAACTTATTGCTAACTTTTAAATTATGTCCTATTTTGATATTAGATTACCTCTAAGCAGCCATATTTTCCTTACATTATAACTGCCCATTTATTTGGTGGATGTAAAATCTAAGATGAGTTTTAAATGTTTTAGCACATCATCATGTCACTGCAAAAGCCTTTCAGTGTAAGGGCACAAAGACGAAAGGCTTAGTTAGTCACTGTTTGCATCTTGTCATTACAAGTACTAGCGAGTTATAACACACACACACACACACACACACACCCCGCCGCCGCCACACACACACACAAAACAAACGGTTCAAACGACACTGACTACTCAGTGACAAGAGAGCCATGAGTATGAGGGCTGGGCTAAAGATGGCCGCGGAGGCTTACATCAGGCCATGTAAAAACATAATTCTCTACGTGCCTCAGTTAATTGCCAAGGCTCCCTCTCTTCTCCTATTCAGCAGGATGCCAACTGGCTTTTCTCTTTAATGTTAATAACTGAGGAACCATCAGAAAAGGAACAAAACTCTTCCTGAAATTGAGCAGCCAGCTGAGGCCAATGGCTCCAACTTCTTCCTTTGCACTCAGTTCAGTGCTTACAAAACTATCACAACAGACTGAGGGGACTTGAAAATCACCACTTTCACATCTAGTAATAAGACAAAGACCAGCAAGGTGTTTTAAAGAAAATTCCATCCACAGGATGTTTTAATATACACAATCTAACAATTAATTGCGATTGGCTTGAGAGTGATGTCTACGGTGTAAAGGTAAATAGTGAACAAACTCACTCACTGACAGGAAATGAAAACTTTGTTGACTACTGAAAATTCATAGAGCATTTTTTAGAAAACTGTTACCAATGGCTAATTTCTTTCCTACTTAAAATAAACTTCTAAGAGAAACACATGTTTAGCATAAAAATCCAAAGTAATCCTCTTTTCCCTATATATCACATGTTCGTAAGGTTAATCCTAGCCCTCCATCTAGTGACTGATGATGTTCCACCTGTGTACCATTCCAATCACACACTTAGCAGCTTAGAGAACTTAAACTCACAGAACACTGCACAGGAGCACTTGTACACTCCTAATGTGATGTAAGATAGTTGGCAACAAAATTAAACTAAAAAATTCAAGGTCGGGGGCTGGGGAAATGGCTCGGGAATAAGGTGCTTACTGTGCAACCTTCAGAACCTAAGCTCAAATTCCCAGCAACCCACATAGGAGCCTGGTATGACAGCGCATGCCTGTACCCCTGGCACCAGAGGGGCAAAGATAGACAGATCCTAAGGGTTTGATGGCTAGCTGATTTAGCCCAAATGTTAGCATTAGGTTCAGTGAGGGACCCTGTCTCAAAATACAAGGTAGACAGTATTGGAACAGGACACCAGAAGTACACCTCTGGCCTCTACACTTACATGCATAGGCAAGAACACCAGCATGTGTATGTGTGTATACCCATACACAAACCCTGAGTACCAGAAGGTAGTAATTACTGAGTGACCAAGACAATACCTGTTGAAAGGAATCCTCAAACAATGTTTTTCTTGTCACCGTGATCTTTATATGCTGTGGCATGGCCAGTTGCTGAAATGTAAGAACAACTGAAGTCAATTCTCACCATTAAAATGGCCTAGCAAAAACCAAGAAGGAAAGTTTTACTTACTTTTATCTTTGCAAAAGAGAACACACTTTGAATAATTTATACCAACACATTTGTCAGCATTCATGTTGATTCTTTTCCAAATGAGTAAGAAGAAAATCAGATCGTGTATGTAAAATGCTTATATTTAAGAACTCAAGTAAGTCTTTTGATTTTCAAAATTTAATTCAGAATTATGTTTCCCAGTTAATTATAAAAATTTGAATTAAGGGCTGGAGAGATGGCTCAGAGGTTAAGAGCACTGATCACTCTTCCAGAGGTTCTGAGTTCAATTCCCAGCAACCACATGGTGGCTCACAGGCATCTATAATGAGATCTGGTACTGTCTTTTTGCCATGCAGGCAGAAAACTGTATACATGCTAGACAGTGGTGGTGCACGCCTTTAATCCCTGGACTCGGGAAGCAGAGGTTGGCAGATCTCTGTGAGTTCAAGCCATCCTGGTCTACAGAGTGAGTTCCAGGACAAACAAGGTTATTACACAAAGAAACCCTGTCTCAAGAAAGGGAGAGAGGGGGAGGCAGAAAACTATACATAATAAATAAATCTCAGTGGTTAAGAGAACAGGCTGCTCTTCCAGAGGTACTGAGTTCAATTCCCAGCACCTACATGGCGGCCCACAACCATCTCATAACTGTCATGAGATCCAATGCCCTCTTTCTGGTGTGCAGATGTACATGCAGACAAGAACATACACACATAAAATAAATAAATAAATAAATCTTTGAAAAAAAATTCTTCATAAAAACTTGATTTTGGGTATTTAACATAATACTTCAATTAATGCATTCATTTTATTTAGAGCCCATACAGAAAATGATTTATTTAGATATCATAAAACATTAAATATATGTTTGTATGTATTTGATCATATGTGTACTTATCAAAGACATTTCTATCAAACATTAGACATGGAGTTATGAATGAGGCAAACAACTATAACTGCAGCATTGAGAAGGTTGTGGTAGGAGGATTTTGAGTCCAATCAGTGTGGGTTATTTAGATTGTCCTGACTCAAACACACACATACACACACTACTAAATAGGAAAGTGAACAACTGCAATCTATCAGAAAATATTGTTTCAAGATTTGCCGGGCAGTGGTGGCGCACACCTTTAATCCCAGCAGAGGCAGGCTGATCTCTGTGAGTTCGAGGCCAGCCTGGTCTAAAAGAGCTAGCTCCAAGACAGGCTCCAAAGCTACAGAGAAACCCTGTCTTGAAAAAAAAAAAAAAAAGGATTTATGCAACTTGAAAACAATAGGTTCCCAAGAAAAGTCACAATATTTTCTTATTTAAATGGTTTCTAGCTTAATCTTTTGGTAATTATCCAGTTGATAAATATTTCATTGTCCTAAAAATGGATGGCTCCAATGCCTCACACTTTTATTGTCAGTACACATTTGCAGAACTGCAGTGTAACACAGCAATGTAACAAAGGAAGGAGATACAGAGACACAGAGCCAACACTAACCTGACACCAGAAACGGAAATATTGAACCTTTGCCTTGAAGTCCCGAACATATGCTATCTGGGGTCCATTGTCTCTGAAGAACAAAGATTAACATTAACACGACACATGAAACTGCTCGTCAAAGGAATGCTACAGGAAAGCAAATACACTCCCCACATCCCCACCCGTTGCTACCCAGCACTCAGCAGACAGATACAAAAGCACCCAACAGAGCATATTCCTAATACATCTTCCCTTTTTCTTTTTTGAATGTTCCCTAAGGACTATTTTTAAGTAAACTCTTGTTGAAGCCACTGCTGGGGGGGCTTTTTCTGTGTGCAGGTGATCTAACAGAGCTGGACAGAAGAGCTCCTACTCTATCTATCCTTTAGTCCTCATGAAACTCAAGGTCAAGCAAGTCATTTCCTAGTGTTTCCGTGAGACTTCAGGTCTGTCTAAGGAGCTCGAACCACAAGTGCTGGAGGGGGCTTTCAAGAAGTCATTTTTTTAAGGAACAAAATATTGGTTCAGGGTTTTGCTGTTTTCATTCCAGTGTGTTCTTTCTTCAAATGACAAGTACAATGAGGATGAAAACCATGATCTAGGGCCAAGGAATAGGAAGAATTCCAGATCACTGGAAGCCGCTGTTTGGCTGTTTTAATGTAGAATTACATCTGATTTTATTGCCTGCAATCCTGGAAAATTTACTAGCTCTAGTAATTTTCTCTACATTACTCACAATTTTCACTACATATGATTCTTATGAAAGACAGACAGCCTTACTTCCTCCTCTCCAGCCTATCTCTTCTACACTTGATTGCCACTATGATGCTGAGTAGCAGCAGTGGTGATAAACATCCTGGATGGAGTAATTGTTTCATCATTAAGCACAATGGAGGCTTTTATCTGTATTTTTCTAAGAACATTTCCAAGGCAAGTGAAAGAGGACCACAAAAGTATTTTGCAATTCATCAAAAGCTTTTACTGAATAATCATGATTTATCTTAAAAGATTCATTAATTTGTATGTATGTGAGTATTGACATGTATATGTGTCTGTGACCATGTTGAATCCCTGATGCCCAACGAGGCCAGAGAGGGCACTGGATCCCCTGGAACTGAATTTACAGAGTATTGGTAGATGCCAAGTGGATGCCATAAACTGACCTGGAATCCTCTCCAAGAGCAGCAAGTGCTTTGAAGTAATGAGGCATTGCTCCAGTCACTGATCATATGATTTTTCTCTTCTAGTCTATTTTATGGTGAGTTATATTTTTTGTTTGTTGTTGTTGTTGTTGTTTCAAGACAGGGTTTCTCTGTGTAACAGCCCTAGCTGTCCTGGAACTTGCTCTGTAGACCAGACTGGCCTCGAATTCACAGAGATCTGCCTGCCTCTGGCTCCCAAGTGCTGGGATTAAAGATGTATACCACCATCTGGCTGAGTTACATTCTTTTTATTTTAATTCTATCTAGGGGAAAGAGTGTGTGCCAGAAAAGGCAAAAGAGGTTACTGAATCTCCTGGAGCTTGAGTTACAGGTAGTTCTGATTACAGGCATACATCATTATCTGGTCCAGGTTATTCTTAAATAATATAGAGAAATATACTACTATTGAATATAAGGTAATACTATTATAGGACTTTCTGTTATATGCACCCAACCTTTACTATAACTATATTATCTAGTTATAATTTATTTTCACATCTAGATTATTTCTAAACCGGGCGGCGGTGGCGCACGCCTTTAATCCCAGCACTCCAGAGGCAGAGGCAGGCAGATCTCTGGGAGTTCAAGACCAGCCTGGTCTACAAGAGCTAGTTCCAGGACAGGCACCAAAGCTACAGAGAAACCCTGTCTCGAAAACCAAACAAACAAACAAACAAAAAAAAGAATAGATTATTTCTGTAATTTTTCACTGGTGCCTAACTGGACTGATTTCTCAGTTTCTGCTGTAAGCACACAAGCTTTTAATATGCAGAAGAATAAAATTCTCAGTCAAATATTAGCAAAAGGATTTTGGCAGAATATTAAAGGATTGATGCTTTAATCCTTTATATCACATACCAAATGGGATTTATCATTAGTATAAGGATAGTTCAACGTATGAAATCATGTAACAATCATGTATCAACCTAATGACAACAAACGGGGTCAGAAAGATTGCTCACAGGGCCAGAAAGATTGCTCAGTGATTAGAACACTTCCTGTTCTCTCAGAGGACAAAAGCTCAGATCCTAACACTGGTGGGTGGTTTACAAATGTCTGTAAAACAAGGATCCTTCGTGGACGCACACAAAATGGTTTTTGAGGCAGGAACTTCCTATGTAGTCTTGCCTGGCTTTGAACTCACAGAAATCTGCCTGCCTCTGTCTCCCAAGTGCTAGCATTAAAGAAGAGCAACACCACACAGTGGCATTTTTTTTTTTTAGTTAAAAGAAGGTAGAAACATCTAACAAGATCAGGTCAGAAGCAATGAAAGGATGTCTAGTATTGGCAAGAAGAACAAAAGGCACACTAGCAATAAGTGTAATGATTTGTTTCCAGATAAAATCTTTTATGTAGGAAATGAAGATCACTTTAAAAGAAAAGCAAATTCAGTAAGTATCAGAATATGTTAACATATTATCAGTTATATTTCTACACATTAGCAATGAATCTGAAGAAGAAATGAAGAAAACCATCTAATTGGCCAGGGCAGTACTCTTGTTACTGAGAGGGATCTTTTTGTACTTTTGTTTTGTTTTGATGCAAGGTCTCATATAGTCCAGGCTGGCCTCAAGATTCTGATTCTCCTGTCTCCATCTCCCAAATGCTGGTCTTTTTTTTTGTTTGTTTGTTTGTTCATTTTGTTTTTTCAAGACAGGGTTTCTCTGTGGCGTTGGAGCCTGTCCTGGAACTAGCTCTGTAGACCAGGCTGGTCTCGAACTCACAGAGATCCGCCTGCCTCTGCCTCCCGAGTGCTGGGATTAAAGACGTGCGCCACCATCGCCTGGCCTTAAACCATTATTTTAGAGTGTACTTCTACTACTATCATAAAAGTTCAGCTAAGTGTGACATCTGCAACACAGTCTACATTGCCAGATTTGCATAGTAAGACTGTCTCAAAAGAAAAAAGAAAGCAAAACAAAACAAAGCAAAAATAACAAAAAAACAGTTTACTATAAAACAGCCATATAATGCTGGCTGAACATCGCACACTTTGTGCTTCCTGTGTGTCTTGACTACATCATTTTTTCCAGTGCTTTATTTAATCCCGTGTTTTGTTCATCATGATTTTAGGAATAATAGGCCATACACACCTATACTGAGTGTACATGGCATATAGTCTAGCCATGCAGCAGGCTTAATTCAACTAGGCTTCTGAAAGCATATTCTTCAAGGCCCACACAATGATCAAGTGACTCCTGTCAGTATATAAAGAACTCCTAAACTGAGCATGATGGAATTATGATGGTATACCTCTTTAACGCCAGTAGAAGCAGAGAAAGGTGATCTCTATGAGTTCAAGGCCAGTCTGGTCTACAGAGTGACTTCTAGGCCAACCAGAGCTACAAGATAAGAACTATTCCCCAACCTGCCCCAGCCCCAAACAACAACAAAATTCAGTATTCAGAGACCTATGGGCCAACTCACATACACCTCCACAGCCTTTGCTAACTAAGATATTTGTAAAAATCCAAGAAATTAGTTGTGTTTTTAATTAATAATGTTAAGAAAACTTACAGGGCAGATTTTCCTGTACGTGGATCTATGTAGGTGGTTGTTCTTTTATTGTGGTCCACAAAATATGGAATCCCATCCACTGTGAATCTCATTTCCCAGCCTTCAGGTAAGGGCTTTTCATTTAATTGACTATAAAATACAAGGAAAACATAAACAAAAACTATCAAAGGCATACTTCTTTGCCCAAAACCAGAAACTAAAAACACCTGTAAACAGAATAAAAATCTTTCAGAAAACCTACATAATCCCGTATTTTCAGATAATATATATCCCTACCTAGACATTCTACAAACACAGTAAAGTCATCATCAACAATATTAAAAATGAATCATCATCACATTATTGGCCTATGTTCTCCCATTTATTTAATAACTCACTTCAATAGCCATGGTACCCAAGTTAACTCATTCTGCCTTTTAAGTCTTTCTAGCCATCCCTTATCTTTGATTCTCACCATTACTCAGGTCTTCTCCATCTAAACCTACACGATATTGTTGACAGAGTATCTCCCTAAGCGAGATTTCATCAACTCAGTTTCTCTTTTAGACTCCCTCTCAGGAACCCTGAGATTTCATGGCCAGTGACCATTTTCCCAAACAAGTCACATCTGTCATTGTTCTGAATGACATCTTCTCCCACTGACAAATCTGTTTTCTCTGTTAAGGCAACTTGAAAGTTCTTTACAAAATGTCCCTATCTTTTTCCTGAACATATATCTTTATATCATGAAAACCCTGGGCTGCCTTCTTTAAACTTCAGGCTTTTTGTCCATAAAATGCAGGCAACAGTCAGATGTGGTGGTGCACGCCTTTAATCTCAGTACCCAGGAGGCTGAGGCTGAGGCAGAAGCAGGCAGATCTCTGAGTTGGATGGAGGCCAGCCCTGAGGAGATGCACTGAAGAGAACTGGAGGGAGGAGGAGGAAGTGGATAAGACCTACATGCATTATACACTTACGAAATTCTCCAAAGATGAATAAAAATATTAAACAATCAAGACAATACTACATAATAAGACCATATGAGAAATGAAGTAAGATAATGGCCTAGTAGAAAGAAAGCCTTCCAATAGTAACTGTCCACTCTTTCTCCTACTACAAATTAATCATTCTGTCCAGGTCTCCTATGTGCTGCTGGCATGGTGTCCTCATCCCTCAGGTTGTATGCTGGCAAAACTCTCTACTCTGCAACTATTACATGAGTTTTAGAAACTAAACTAGATTTTTTGGGGGCAGGGGGTGTTCAAGATAAGATTTCTCTGTGTAGCTTTGGAGACTGTTCTAGAACTAACTCTGTAGACCAGGCTGGTCTCAAATTCACAGAGATCGCCTGCCTCTGCTTCCCAAGTGTAGAATTAAAGGTGGGCACCATCACCACCTGGTTTCCTAAACTAGATCATAAATCAACAATGACCTATATAAATGTTCCATTACAGCACCCAAAAAAATCAATGCATTAGCATAAATATTAAAATGGATACTCGTACCTATGAATTTACTGTCCTTTTTAAACATAAAGGCAACCAGACTTCTCAGTTGGTTGAATAAAATAAATGCAACATTTATTCATGTATACCAGTTCACTTTTGCCCCTTTTTTCTTTTGAGATAGGGTCTCATATATCCTGGATTTAGTTCACATAGCCTAGGATAACCCTGACCTTCTGACCTTCCTGCCTCTACTTCTCAAGCACTGGAATTATACTCACATATCACCTGTGGGGTTCTTAGAGATCAAAACCAGGGTTTCATGCATGCCAAACAACACTATACCAACCGAGCTACATCATCACCCCTCCAGCCTGGCTTCATAGCTTTAAGTTTCTTATCTAATGGACTTGATAAGAGGGAACACTTGGAATACTAAAGTTTCTATCACAAAGGAAGAAAAGTGGAGATCTGCAGACATTCAAGCTTACTATTATAGAGAAACACTCCTAGTTTTGATTGTTGTTTTCATCAAGTACACTTTAGAAAGACAAAGTGCTTTCAGAAGAACACTGCCTTAAACCATGCTTTACAAACTACCAAAATATTAAGACTATTTAGTCTTATTTATATAATTCAACACAAATGTCAGGGAAGACTAACCAAAAATATAAAAAAATTTCAAAAAATTCACTTCCACTGTGATTATAGTTCCTAGATAAGCTCAATGACCAGTTGTCTTGAAAACTATTAAAATAAATTAAGATAAATTGACATATAGCATTGGTGAATTATCCCATGCTATTCAAACAATGGATTAATGCATTAAGGGATATAAGCACCTCTTTTTTAGATAAAGTATTTTAAATGAGTGAACTGATAGAACTATTGAAATGTGAATCATGGGATTTGTATCATGAGGAATTAATCATACCTACAGAAGGCTGCTCTTGTTCTCAACTACTAGAAAGTGATTTGCTAGTAGGGGTAGCTGTGCCTATCAGGAATGCCCTTCTTTGCCTGGAGGATTTCCCCACTGGGCATCCTACAAAGAGGAGAGAGGCCTGGGACACACTGCAACAGTTTTGGTCTCTGGAGAACTACAGACTGTTTTATTTCACCCAAAAGGGCAAATGGACACTTGAGTGGAATCCACAAACCTCCCTGTTGTCAGCATTTACATATTACCAACATCAAAGCACATGACTCTCCATTAGCAACAGAAATTTAGAATCTTCCCAGCCTCTTCTTTGCATATTCTTCCTCCTACTGTCTCTATTATTTCTCTATAAAAAAATGTGACTGAATATAATTCAGTAGTTATATTTTTATGTTGTAATTATAGTTTTATGTTGTTCTTAGACAAGAGCTCACTAAGTACCCCAGGCCAGCCTGGAATTGGAGATTTCCTACTTAAGTCTCCCCAATGTTTGGATTACAAATGTACACTACTATTAATATCTCTATCACACTTAAAGAGTAGTTGTGACAAAATTTGTAGATAGATGTTTGAAGTGAGAAAGGTGTAAGGAACATGCCCACATTTGTGATTAACATGTAAACTGCACAGTTTGCCATATTCCTTGAAAAATAGAACCATTTGATAATTATAATATTACATTCTGTCATGAGGTGACTATGCTTCGCTTCCAAATACTTATGTCTAAGTCCTAGGGACCAGCACCCAAGGATAGGACCTTATTTGGAAACAGTGTCACCAAAGATGTATAAAGATGAATCCATACTTGGAGTCACATCTTATAGGACTGGTGTTTGTATAAAAAGAGAAAATTGGAACAAAAATATAAAAGAAAGCTATGTGGCCAGGTAGTGGAGGTGCACACCTTTGATCCCAGCACTTGGGAGGCACAGGCAGGCAGGTCCCTTTGAGTCTGAGGCCAGCCTGGTCTATGGAGTAAGTTCTAGGACAGTCAGAGCTATACAGAGAGACCCTGTTTATAAAGAGAGAGAGAGAGAGAGAGAGAGAGAGAGAGAGAGAGAGAGAGAGAGAGAGAGAGAGAGAGAGAGACTAAAATACTGCTGACACTAGCCAGCAAACTATAAATTGGGAGAAACCAGGCATGCTGGTTCATACCTTTCATCCTAGTACTTGAGGCAGAGGCAGGAGAATCTCTGTGAGTTTGAGGCCAGCCTGGTCTTCATAGTGAGTTCCAGGACTGCAGGAGTTGCATAGAGAGGCCCTGCCTCAGAAAACAAGACGAGGAAGAGGAGGCAGTGGGAGGGGATAGTAGTGGTTAAGAGGACTGGAGCACCCCTTTTCCCTGGCCATCAGAGGTATATAGTCTGCTGACACCTTGATTTCTGACTTCTTCCAGAACTCTAAGCTTTTGTTTGAAACAGAAAATGAGAATTAGTTTCCTTCTTCTTTTTTTTTTTTTTTTTTTTTTTTTGACTACCTCTGCCTCCCCAGTGCTAGGATTAAAGGTGTGCACCATCACTTTCGGCCTGAGAAATACTTTGGTATTTTTTAAAAAAAAAAAAAAAAAAACAAGGCCTTAGCTAACTTTAACACACAGAATGACATAATTTATGTACGTAAAATCACTGTATACTGTAATCAAAACATTAAGTAAACTTGTGATAATATCTCTTGGTATATTAATCAGCAAATTCTTATAATATACATAAACATTATATCATATAATATAACATATAAACATATTTTTATGGTTTTTTTTTAAAGTTCTGTAATTCTATTGGTGGGGAAAAAAAGAAAACCAGTGAGTTGTGCCAACTCATCCCCAGTTCATTCTCATAAAACTCAAGCTTTTCATTATATGAAAGTAATCATTTTTCTTCTTCCAAGGTATATAGGTGATTAATGTTTAAGGGCTTTGAGGAAAGAACACATAAATGAGTCAGAAATAGGTAAACAATTGTGAGAAGCCATATATACACTAAAGTTCTTACCCTTGGCTTCTGGGGTCTTCCCACTGTGTAATTCGAGTGTTGTGGTTGACAAAATACACTCTGCCATTGCTATCAGTTCTCTTCTCTTTATTAAACAAAATGAAAAACACAACATTAATGTTGGAATAGTCCTTTCCCCTCAAACTAAGATAAAATAAGTTGAATCTGCCTATTTAATGACTACTTGATTTTATAATTTCTCTATCATATTATATACACGAAAGCTTATCCTAGCCTTTGAAACATATATGCCTTTCTTCCATCTCATTAGTCCATTCACACTTTTGAGAGCGTTTTCTCTTTCTTAATGAAGTTGTTAATTATTATTTCTGGGCTGCAGAGATGGCTTGGCAGCTAAGAGCACTTATGCTCTTCTAGAAGACCCAAGTTCAGTTCCCAGCACCCACATCAGTTCAAGCCCAACTATAACTCAAGGGTACCAGAACTTATGCACACAATTCCACATACAAAATACATACCTACACATAATTAAAAAAACAATTTTTTTAAAAATAAAATTTCTAAGACACTAAAAAGATTTAATTCATAATGCCCTACCTGCCCATAAGACCTCTCAGCTATTTAGCTTTTCACAAATGACAGCTGGGTTTATGTGTTAAAGTAGGTATAATTTAAGGTATTCCAAGTATGAGGTAAGCAATTTAGACCTTAGCGCTACTTCACACAAACACAGCAGACAAAGACAAGCTTTCCTATAACAGTGGCAAAGTCCACAACTCAAGCTTCTGAGGCTAAGAAGTGTTTTTTCCTAGAGCTCTTTCAAAAGAGTAAAAATGGTCTGTTAATAATCACCCCCATAAAAATGAGTCATAGCTCTTCTGCAATAAAATGAAGGGTGAGGGCTGGAGAGATGGCTTAGTGGTTAAGAGCACTGGTTTCTCTTACAAAGGACTCAAGTTCATTCTCAGCACCCAAGTAGTGGCTCACAGCTGCTTGTAACTCCAGTTCTAGATTGTCGCCCTCTTCTGTGGGTACCAGGCATGCACATGGTATACAGATATATATGCAGGCAAAACATCCATGCACGTAAATTTTAAAAAATATGTAAATTGAGGACAGGGTATAAACTTATAACCTTCAGCTATATTCTTTTAGTGAGTGTCTACGTAAAACACACAACAAAATTATAGAAACAAAGCATACAATCTCTGTCTGGGAATGCAATCTGACAGGTTAGGTTGAATACCTAAGGACCACACCTTTTCTAAAGCATTGTGTTTTGTTTTGCATCAACCACACACTGACCATTCCACTATCCTAACCACCAAAACTCCATCTCTGGCTTTGGAGAAGACAGGAACAACTTTCATGTATTTTGTCTTCTTATCACAAAATAATGACTTTGTTTTAACCGTCTTCACTTGGAGAAGTCATTTATTTTGTTTTGGTTTTTGGTGGGTGCATGTGATTGTTTACATGTCAAGTGGACATGGATGTGCGTGTACAAGCCCATTTATGCACATGCATATGGAGTCCGAAGGTATGTTGCTTCTCAGGTACTATCTGGTTTCTTTGAGACAAGAGTCTCTCACTGACCTAGGACTCACTTGATTCAGCTGGCCTGCTCTGTCAGCAAACTCAAGGGATCCTCTCAGATATCTCCAAGACTACAAGGACCTGGCACCACACCTAGCTTTTTTTTTTCCCCATAGATACTGGGGAGTTAATTCAGATTCTCATGCTTGCACAGGAAGTACTTTACTATCTCCCTGCCTTTGTTTGGTGAGTCAGGGTTTCCAACAGTTTAGGCTGGTCTTAAACTCACTGTATAGCCAAGGCAGGATCAAAACTCCTGATCCTTTAACCTCTAACTGCCAAAAGATGCTGGGATTACAGGCACGTACCAACCGTCATGTTGGGCTAGCACCAAAATGTTTTGAGTACTGCTGTGGAATAATCCTTCTATACACTCTGAAAATGAGTTGCTCTGATTGTTAATAAAAAACTGATTGGCCAGTGGGTAGGCAGGATTTTCAGGGTAGAGAAAATGCTGGGGAGAAGAAGGGCAGAGTCAGAGGAGAGGCCATGAAGGGCAGAGCAAGCAGAATGAGAAATAAGTAGATGAGATAAACAAGCCTCAAGGCAGCACATAGATGAACAGAAATGGGTTAGTTTAAGTGATAAGAGATGGCTAAAAACAAGCCTGAGCTATCGGCCAAGCTTTTATAATTAATATTAAGTCTCTGTGTGGTTATGTGCGGACGGGCTGGTGGGACAGAGCTGATCAGCAGTTTAGACAGAAAACTCTGCCTACAGAGTATAAATGATTTAAGGGGAAAAATAGGATTTTTCAAAATGGATTACATGTGTACCACCATACCTGGCTCCCTTTAGTTTTTGAGACAAGTCTCTAAATGAACTAGCTGGTCATCAATCTGACTAGGTGAGTTGACCAAATGAGCTTCCTGGATCTGTTGGTCTCCTCAACCTCCGTGGGATTGCAGACATGTGCTACCACACCTGGCTTTTTACATGAGTTTTGGGAATCCAATTGAAGGCATGGCAAACACCTTTCTGATTTGAGCCATTTCCCCAACACAGCCTGTTTTCATTATAAAGGATCTTGTCTCAAGTATTCGGTATAGTAATAGAAACTGGAGCTGCAAGAGTAATACAATTGCCGGGAAGTGGTGGTGCGCGCCTTTAATCCCAGAATTTGAGAGACACAGGCAGGAGGAGGATCTCTGTGAGTTCGAGGTCAGCCTGGTTCACAGAGTGAGTTCCAGGATAGCCAGAGTTACACAGAGAAACCCTATCTCAAAAAAAACAATAAACACAACAACAAAAGCAAAAGAGTAATCTTGTGAAACTGACTTTCTTCTCTAAGTAATAGCATCATTGAGGTCCTTCCAGACTGCTGTATCAATGATCTGTTTCTTTTTACTTTGCAATGCTAATGACTCAAACCAGAGTTGTGCCTATGCTAGCCAAGCATTCTATCCTCTGAGCAGTCTGATATTCTAATAACTGACTTTAATTAAAACTGATGTGCTTACCCCATCCAGGGGGCAGAGGACCAAGGGGATCAAATTCTTTATTCTGTGATGTAGCAAACAAATCTTGATTCTATAAAGAATAAAAACATTAATTAGACATAATTTACAACAAATACATTACAGAGCAAATGGATGAATTTCAATATGGCTTCCCTGGTATGTACAACATATTCTTACAGAATTCACACTTAGAAAAGTTTTATTTTTGCTAAAAAAAAAAAAACTTTGAAAACTATGTAATATTAGCTAACACTTAAAATTATGTAAAATTAAGGAAGTACATAAACTATATAAATTCTTACCTGAAAATTACTAGTTTTTCCCTAGTGCTACAAAATTTCCTCTACTAGTAACATAAAAATTAGAGAACCATATATCACACACACACCCCAGTCATTTATAAAAGCAGTAACTGGAGTGACCAGACAGTTGAGAAAAGTCTTACATGTGTACTGAAAGCCAAAAGATCACACATGCAGATGGAAGAGAACTGGGGGCAGAAAGACAACAACAAAATGCCACCGAGGCAGTGAAGGGTGTGTCTATTTCAGATAAAAGGTAAATGAGTCCAGGTGAGGTTAAGTAGCTCATCCAAAATTACTCAAAGTAACTGTGGACAGGAACCAGACAGATGTACCTGACTCCAAAGCCACTGGAGATTCATATGGAACTGGGGTTGAAAAAAACAGGCAAGTTAAGGATCCATACCAAGAAGAAATTTGCCAATAATAATTTAGATAGAAACTAAAATGTAAAACAGAACAGACCTAAAAAGAAATTGGACAGGATATGACTGACACAAGCTTATAATCCTAGTTGTTTAGAAGGTTTAGCCAAGAGGATCTCAAGTTGAAGGTCAGCCTGAAAATTTAGTGAAACCATGTTTCCAAATAAAATGTAGAGTCTAGAGCAGCCATGATAACCTTGAAGAGTTGCACCAATGGCTCTGCAGTACCCCATGGTAGTGGCTCTAACAGACAGAAGGTGATGAATGATGGGAGCAAGCTGAGGCAAGGCCAATTCTGCGGACACCTTACCAAGCACACCAGATTTGTGTGGTGCATGATGTGGGGGCATGTGGCTTTGTGCCCTAAGAGCAGTGTACTATGTCACTGTTATAGAGGCTCTTAAGGCCAAATAAGCCTTCAAGCTCATGAAGCAGAGGGTGGAGATGTACACCCAGGCCCAGAGGAAGTGCAAGAAGCTGAGTATTTTGTTGGCAGCCATGAGAAAAGCAGACGCCACAGTCTAAGTTTCCCTCAATAACCACCCCCATGAAAGCATCCCCCCATCACACACACACACACACACACACACACACACACACACCAAACAAGAAACAAAAGCTATTTTACTCTCTAAAACTAGTAGGAAAGGAAATCTAGTGTCATGTTTCCACAAGCAGTGGTGGGAAACTTACTAGAGTGAACAGTGTCTTGATCATAACAAAGCAGTGCAGAGAAGGCTGCTGATAAGGATGAGCTTGTCCACGGCATCAAGTGGGAACTATTCTAACGATCAGATCCAAGAAAAAGGCAGGAGAGGCTGGAGAGATTGCTAACAGTTAAGAACACTGGCTGCTACTCCAGAGGTTCTGAGTTCAATACCCAGCAACCACCTGATGGCCCACAACCATCCATAGGGAGATCTAGTGCTCTTTTCTAGCCAGCAGGCAAAACACTGTATACATAATAAATAAATAAATCTTCAAAAAAGAAAGGAGGGAAGAGGAGAGAAAGAGAGAGAGAGAGAGAGAGAGAGAGAGAGAGAGAGAGAGAGAGAGAGAGAGAGAGNAGAGAGAGAGAGAGAGAGAGAGAGAGAGAGAGAGCGAGCACAGGAAAATGGAGAAAAGGTAGCCCAAGGAAGAAGAGTAAAGATGTTTTACTCCGGCACATTCTAAAGGGAAGATCTCATGATGCTAAGCAATTGCAATGCCGAGTGTCCAGCTTCTCCAGGCCTCTGGTAGAGCTGGTTTTCTTTGCTTTAAGTTCTATATACTACTCCAACAAACCTACTTATTTTGGCATGGACTATTTCACTTTTCTCAGAGAAAGATATGTGGTACATTATGACTTGAGATTACAAAAATTCCCAGCAGCAAACCACAGCAAGGAAAGCACTAATATATTTTTCACTATTTTGGCACTATTAGTCTGAAGGAAAATATGTATTATACCATTTATTTATATATAGAAAAGGGTGCTTTGTATGTGTGTGTGTGTCTATCCCCACCCCACACAATGTCTCTGTACACAGCCTGTAGTAGCCCTGGCTAACCTGGAACTCACAACTTGGGCCAGAATGGATTAGAATTCAGAGATCTAACTTCTGCCTTCCGAAGTCCCCTGAGTACCAGAGTTAAAGCTATTTACCACTATATCTGGGTAATTTATTTAATGTTTTGTTTTTGAGCAGTATCTTGATTGTCTGGGCTGGCCTTGAACTCTTGAGCTCAAGTGAGTTGTCCACCTTAACTTCCCAAATGCGAGGGTAATAGATGAACACCATCAAACCCAGCTTTGTAAAGAAAACACTTGACAAACATATACAGTATAAATATATGTACAGGGCTGGAGAGATGGCTCAGAGGTTAAGAGCACTGACTGCTCTTCCAGAGGTCCTGAGTTCAATTCCCAGCAACCACATGGTGGCTCACAACCATCTGTAAGGAGATCTGGTGCCCTCTTCTGACCTGCAGGTGTACATTCAGGCAGAACGCTGTATACATAATTAATAAATAAAAATCTTTAAAAAAATATATGTACAGTGTATTACTATAAGGAATGAAAGGAGCAGCACACCAAAAAATTTATTCAGTAAGCTTCATCTGTGAGTGTTCAGTGACTCAACCCCACTGTCAATTCTATGCAACCACTTAAATCAGGTTCCCTGAAACTGAAGTTACAAGCAGTTCTGCATACTGAATTGTTTTGATTCTTTTCAAACTGCTTGGGTGATTCTTATTATTAACCTTCTCCATGAAATTTAAATTGCTCTAACTTGTTTTCTGTTTTTGATTGTTTGTTGGATGGTTTATTTTTGTTTTGTGAGACAGGGTTTCTCTGTGTACCTTTGGGGCCTGTCCTGGAACTAAACTAGCTCTTATAAACCAGGCTAGCCTCAAAATCACAGAGATTCACTTGCCTCTGCCTCCCAAGTGCTGAGATTAAAGGCGTGCGCCACCGCCACCCAGTTAACTTGTTTTCTGTTTCGTGTTTATTTTTAACAATGACAGAAAACACCAAACTCACAACAAAATCAGCATCTACCTATGTCATCTTATTAGTGCTTTAGATGACACATGCAGGCAACTTTTTAAACACTAAAGATTTTTTATTAGTTACAATAACCAATAATTCAGTAGGCTGCTTACCCCATAGATGAATCTCTGGTTAAACTGCTGCATTGCTCCCTGAAGCTGACTACGTTGTAGCTGCCACTGTTCATAGTTCCGGACAGATTCCACTGTTGGCCTCTGCCATGTTGTTGTTCTTGTGAAATGGTCAACATAATAAATACGTCCCATATTGTCCACACGCCGTTCCCAACTAAACCAGAAAAGAAACAACTAACTTAAGAAAAACCTGTGAAAAACGTGAGACTTTGACCTTGGGGCTAGCTACCTTTCTAGCCTACATACCTTGACTTTTTTTTTTTTTTTTTGTGAGACAGAATTCCTCTTTGTAGCCCTGGCTGTCCTGGAACTCACAAAGATGCAGCTGCCTCTGCCTCCTGAGTGCTGGAATTAAAGGCATGCGCCACCACCGCCCAGCTTGAACCGTGGAATCTTTAAATTAGAAGTGCTAACAGTAAAATTCATTGGCCATGGTATGCAACCCCAGAACTTGCAAGACTAGAGGCTGAGGCAGAAGGACCAAGAGTTCCTTCTGCAATACACAGCAAGACTCTGTCTGCGAAAAGAGAATAAGCCACAACAGCAACACCCCTCAGCATGCTGGAAGTTCTCTAGCTCTCTTCTTTCTAGTCTGGGTCTAACATAAAGCAAAACAGAGGAGAACAAGAGGACTGTAGGGCACACTGGGTACAGATGCAATTTGTTCTTTGTTTGTAAATTCAGACACTTACCCAGGAGGTAGAGGTTCTGGTCTATCCCATGTTGTTCGCTTTTCAACATGGTCTACATAGTAAACACGCCCATGCTGGTCTACTCTCTGTTCCCACCTTAAATACAAACCAAAGACTGGTGAGGGCACTGTGTATTATTTGGCTTTCTAACCCTGTCTACACTGTCTCACTTTAAATGACCGTCTATGACACACACACAACAGCGAATGAGGTTTCTTTTCCTAAGTGTGTGCTCTGGAAATAACATGTATTTCAGAGTCAGTCCATCCACTCAGAAGACCAAAGTTTCTCAATCTCATCAGACTATACTCAAAATTCTGACTATATTCTAGAAGAACTGAAATCAAAGCATATCCCTATCAGACATAAGACAAGAGTTACAGACTACCCACTCTAAGTACTCCAGTCTGCTGGGAAGGTTTGTTGCCAAAAAGAAGAGAATAGCTATAAACCATCAGAGTCTGTTAATGTCACCATTATTGATTTGCTTACTTATTTTTATGTGTTTGGGTACTTTGACTGCATATATATCTGTCTATCATGCTTGTGCCTGGTACCCACAGAAGTCAGAAGAGAGCACTAGATTCCCTAAGAGTAGAATTACAGACAAATGTAAGTAGCTATGTGGGTACTGAGAATCAAAGCCAGGTCATCTAAAAAGAATAGGCAATGCTCTTAACTGATAAGCCATTATTTCAAATCTTAAAATCTTTTTTAAAAATTTTTTTTAAGATTTATTTTATTGTATGTGTATCAGTGTTTTGCCCGTGTTTATATGTGCACCATGTATATGCCTGGTACCCACAGAGATCAGAAGAGGGTCCTGAATCTCCTGGAACTGGAGTTATGGGTGGTTGTAAGCCACCATGTGCATGCTGGAAGATGAGCCCAGGCCTTCTGCGAGAGCAGCAAGGGCTAGCTAGCTCTCAGTACCGGATCGTTTGTTCTTAAGCACAATCTTCTAATTTACCTTGCCATGTAGTATGGTTTAGATATAAACTGTTCCTTTCTTACCACCCCACCTACAATACTGGCTCATGTTTTTGAATACTTGGTCCCCAGCTAGTGGTACTATTTGGAAGGTTGTAGAACCTTCAGGACACAGATTCTACCTAGAGGAAGTAGATTGCTGGGGTTAGGACTCTTTGAAGGCTGTAACCAGACTGGCTTCTACTTAAGCTCTCTGCTTTCAAACTACCACAGTGAGGAGACCAGTTCCAAGCAAAATCTCTCCCCCAAGTGGTTCTGTCAGGTCTGTCGCACTGGTGAGCACATAAGCTTTCCAAAATGAAAATGCCTGGTTACCAACAAGTATAATCTGTGTAAGTAGTTAAAATCCCCAGCACGAGTTTATTAATTTACCAGTCAGTCAAATAACTGATTGGCACGCAGAGCCCTGAACATGAGGTTTTGTTTCGATTTGTGTGTATGGTTTTAAGGTAGAACTTGGAACTTTACATATACTAGACACATGCTCTACCACTAAGCTAAACTCTTAGCCCTGACTGAGCTCTCAATTTGATCAAACTATTAATGTTAAAAATAGGAGTTTGAGGATCTTCTTCCAGAGGTCCTGAGTTCAATTTCCAGCAACCACATGATGGCTCACAACCATCTGTAATGAGATTTGGTGCCCTCTTCTGGACTACAGGCATACATGCAGTCAGAACATTGTATATATAATAAATAAATCTTTGTTAAAAACAAAACAAAACATAAAAGCCATAGAGGTTGGGGAGATGGCTCAGTAGTTAAGAACACTTTCTGTTCTTACAGAGGACCCAGGCTCAGTATCCAGAATCCACATCAGATGGCTCAGAGCTGCCTACAACTCAAGTTCCAGGGGGTCCAATGTCCTTCTTCTACAGGCACTGTCCACTTGTGGTGCACACAGAGACAAGGCAAGCAGGCAGGCACAAGTGTACACACCACGTGAACACACACACACACACACACACACCAATTAAAAAAAAACTTTTAAGTACAAATTTAAATGGAATTATGGAACTAGTTTATCAGTTTAAATTTTATGCTGCTATGATTTTATAATAAAAACTATTTTAAAAGGGCATTTGCTTTTTCCCTATGTAGAGAAGCAGCAGTTAGTCACATGGCTATTGCTTGACTCTCATTAACTTTCTGTGGGTGGTGGTGGGTGTCCTTTAATAATTGTTTTTGTTTTCCAGGTGTAATGGTGCACACCTGCAATCCACACTTTAGCAACAGCAGCAGAAGGATCAGTAATTCAATGCTATCCGCAACTACATGGTGAGTTTGAGGTCAGTGAGGGCTATATCACATTCTGCCTCAAAACACCAAACAACAACAACAAAACATTTTTGAGACAGTCTCCTGCTGTAGTCCAAGTTGACCTGGAACTCACAACAATCCTCCTGTCTCAGATTCCCAAGTACTGAAGTTACAGGCATGTGCTAACATACCTAGCTCATTTTTGTTCTTCCAAAAAAGGAAGACGTAGTATTTAAAATATGATAAGCTTTCTTGGATTCCATACTTCCAGAAATCAATTACAATTACTTAAAAGGCAATTAATGAAAGAATATAGTATAATCTTTTTGTATTACTAAGTACACACAAAAGTTTAAAGAAAACAAATGTTAGCAGTTACTTACCCAGGTGGTAGGGGAGCTTGACTTACAGTATTCAGTGGCCTTGGGCCTGAGCCTCCTGATATAGTAAGAGGAATTATTAACCCAGATGTTGCTCCTTCAGATGTACTTGTGTTTGTATTTACATTTGTATTTGTTGGTGGCAAAGAGCCTGTACTCGAACCGTCACTTTCAGAACTGGTGGATGGTGAACCGTTCACAGATGCTACGAAAGATTTGGATAACATAAGAAAAGCTTTTGTTTTCTGAAATCTAAAATCAGGATCAAATTTTAACTTAAGAATTTAAAAGTAGTCAGGCAGTGGTTGCGCATGCTTTTAATCCCAGCAGAGGCAGGTGAAGCTCTGTGAAATCTCTGTGAGCCTGGTCTACAAAAGCTAGTTCCACGACAGGCCCCAAAGCTACAGAGAAACTCTGCCTTGAAAACAAAAGAAAACAAACAAACAAAATTATCAGATTTATTCACTTTTTTCCCCTTTGGCCTGCATGTATGGCTGTGCACCATGTGTGTTCCTGCAAAGGTCAGAAGAGGAAACACAATTATGGATGCTGGAGAACTACCACGTGGGTGCTGGGAATCTAATACAGGTCCTCTCCAAGAGCAACAAGTGCTCTTAACTGCTGAGTCCTTTTCTCCAGGCCCCCAGTCAGCTTTTTCAAAGATAAAATGGACTAAGCAACCAATTTTTTTAACTATAAGATATGCCAGTTATAGTCACACAAAGAAATTTCCATCTGACTGTACTGTCTAGGATTTATAATAACACATATTATTTTCATTCTTAATAAAGCATTTCCTTATAGAACTTCATTCCTGGAAGAAAAACTTAAAGGAAAAGCAATTCTTAGTTGCCAATGGAAAGATCATTCTTAGTCAAGTCTTTAAATGTAAATATAAAGCCAGAAGCCAGACACGGTGGCTCATACCTGCAATCCCAGATCTTAAGAGGGCTGAAGCAGAGGGATTTCTAGGTTTGAGGCCAGTCTATGTTACAGAGTAAGATTCTACTTAAACAAAACACCAATGACCTGATACGTGCCTGTTGATCAGTTTCCAAACAGAACACATTTAAAAACACTAGGCATGGTAGTGCATACTCATGATCCCAGGATAAGGAAGGAAGCATTTGAGGCTAGCACGACTCTGTATCAACTCTTCCTACCTACCAAAAGAACAGTATTTACAAAACAGCAATGAAGGCTGGGATATATACCTGGTCTTCGTGGGGTGGGTGGAGGTGGTCTCGAAGGTCTCGGAGGTCTAGAAGGCTTAAAACCACCATTTGAAAGGGATGGAGAATTGTTCCCGTTTGTCCTCTTGTTATCTCCCGACACTGCAGCCTCAAGGTCATCTGATCCATTTGTGCTCACTCTGGCGAGAGGGGAGAGAGCAGGGAAACAAAACAAATGTTCCTTCTTTATTTAAGAACAGCAGGAAACTAAAAATTTAATATTTTAGGAATTGGAGAAAAAAATCTTTTTCTTTCTAATTTCAGGCCAGTCTTATCAAATAAAGAGGCCATAGGTGAAAGTCTTATACAACTCCTTGGAGTGGTTTGAATGAGACTTGCCACATAGGCTCATGTGAATGCTTAGTTGTTTCCAAGGAGTGGAACCATTTTAGAAAGATCAGAAAAATTGGAGGTAATGGCCTTGTTGGAGTAGGTGCATCACTGAAGGCAGTTTTTAGTTTAAAAAACCCATGTGAGACCCAGTCTCTCTCAGCCTGCTGCCTGTGGATCAGGACAGAAAGCTCTCAGCTCCTGTTCCAGTGTCCTGACTGTCTGCTTCCTGCTATTATGACAATGGATTAAACCTCTGAAACTATGAGCAAGCTCCCAACTAAATTCTTTCTTTTCTAAGAGTTGCCTTGGTCACAATGTTTCTTCACAGCAATAGAAGAGTAACAACCCTTTAGACAGTGAGGAATTACTCAAGGATCCAACTGGAGTCCATTAGAAATTACTAGATGTGACTGCAGAAAGGCTTCAGAATGCCCTGTATAAGCAGGAATGAAATCAAGTTCTTCAAAATCCTACTGCCTATAGTCAAAATACCTACAGGCCTATGAACACCCCTCTATATTTCCTATGAGAAAAGTCACCATTTATAAGAGTGTCAAACAGTCCAAGGATACTGACTTAGTACACTGGTTTGAAAGGGGTTTTCCTTTTGGTTTTCAATGCTATATAAACACACACATATAATATTTATATTATATATTTACATTATTTATATTCCTATAAAATTAGTATACATTAAATTTATGTGTATGTATGTATATATACATACGTTTGTGTGTGTATCTCCCCTTATTCATTCATTCACTTATTTATTTGTTTATTTATTTTGGTTTTGCAGGGCAGGGTTTTCCTGTTCAATGCCCGAGCTGTCCTGGAATTTGCTCTGTAGATCAGGTTGGCTTCAAACTCACAGAGATCCACTCACCTCTGCCTCCTGAGTACTGAGATTAAAGGCGTGTGTCACCACTGCCCGGTTCCATGCTATATTTTTAAATATGCAATTTTCGCATTTCTATGTAATTAAATTAATTCAGCAACAAATTAGCTACATTTTATTTCAATGGTTTTATATTTTCATTTTTTTTTTTGAAATTTATTTAAAATCAACTTAGAATTTACTTTTGTGTTGGGATAAAGGAAGTAGCTACATTTTTCTTTTGCCAGATGGCCAACTATCCTAGACTATTAACCTATGGTCATAATAACTTCTGTAGCATTTGACAATGTTCATTAAACTCTTGATTTTTTGTTGTTATTATTGTTACTGTTTTGTTTTTGTTCTCGTGAGACAAGAAAAGCCTTTTTCTAATAAGCCGCCCAGGCTGGCATCCAACTGAAGATTTCCTGCCTCAACCTCCCAAGTACAGGGACTACAAATATACCACCATATGCAGTACTACCCCATCTCTTTTTGGGGAGGCAGGTATAGTCTCACTTTGTAGCCTTGGCTGCCTGGAACTAACTACGTATTTAAGTCTCAAACTCACAGATCCCCTTCTGCCTCCACAGTACTGGGAAAGAAAAAAAAAATGAGCCACAAGTCCAGCTATTTCATCTTAAACATTTAGATTAGATTTTTTTTATTTCTATTTTTTAAGTTTTTATTTATTTATTTATTTATTAAAGATTTCTGTCTCTTCCCCACTGCCGCCTCCCCTTTCCCTTAGATTAGATTTTTTTTTGTATATTTTTAGGTTGAATTTATCTTACTTTATGTGTATGAATGTTTTGTCTACATGCATACATGTATACCACATGTGTGTCTGTTGGACCCCTGGAGCTGAGGTTATGAATGGTTGTGAGCCACCATGTACCAAGTTGGAAATTTAACCTGAGTTTTAATCTCAGCTCTTACTCTGAGCTATCTCTGCAGCCCCTTCATCCCGTCTTTAAAAGCCATTTTTCTCTAACTTCTGTCACTCTGCTTTTATAATCTTGTACTTAGATTTCTAATCACCCTCTGATTCTTCCTCTTCTTCAGATTTTTCTCTAGGATCTCATATCTCATAATTTCAAAGATTATCTCTAAAAATTATCTACAAACCAAAATTTCTATAATTAGTTGAACTCTCTCCCAACTCCAAGTATCAAGTTATTAACAAAATGCAGACAATACAGCTCTCCAGCTCTAAGGCATTCCTTCCAGTTATTCTTAATTTCCAAGTCCACTTGATTCTGCTTTCATAGTCTCCCTCTACTCTCCCACTACACCCGCCTCATTACCTCTCAGTGGTCTACTATATTAATTTTCTGTCTGTTTTCCCAATCTTCACTTGAGGCAATAGAAAGAGGAAAATTTAAAACAGACATGAGATCTACTTTACCATGTCTGTCGATGAGTCAAGAAACTTAAACACAACCCAGAAAGCTCAAATTACTTTGAGAGATAACATTTACTTTCCTAAAGACAACTTTTAAAAGTATAATAAAAACAAACAAACTATGCTTATGAGGGCTAGAATGTTTGTAACCATGAGCTTTATCAGACTGTTCACTCTTGTCCCTAAATACAAACCACATACCTCATAAATGACTTTACAGGTTCATTTACAAGAGTCCTTAAGATGCAAGAAATGAGAACTAGCTTATACATTTTTATTTAATTAGAATATTTTAAATTTTATTTATTATTATTGTTTGCATCCAATGTGTGTGTGATGGGAGGTTCGAGCCATGGAGTATGTGGGGGGGGGGTGTTCGAGCCATGAGGCATGTGTGTGGAGATTGGAGGACAATGCTGTGGAATGAATTCTCTCCTCTTTTACCAAAGTTCTAGAAATCAAACTCAAGTCTTTAGAGCAAACACACCAAATACTTTTTATCGGTTGAATCACCTCACTGCCCTAGTTTATAAACTTTATTTAAATTTTAAGTTTTGCTTGATTTTTAAACTTTGTTAATAAGTTACATCCTTTGAGAAATGAGACTTAGAAAGCCACAGGATCATAAACAACACTACTATACAGCCATGTAAGCACAGGGCGATCTAAAGAAGCCCATAGTCACATCTTGGAATTATGTTCTGTTCCTTTTCCTGCATGTCTAAGCATGTATAAACTGAGTCCAATTCACCCTGACTCATCCTCAACTCTTTATACTCAGGGTATGGCTTTAAATGTGTGGAAATCCTAAGGGAAAAGGGAACTCTTCAAGTAGTTAGTAGCATATGGGGGCGTGTCTTCCTGTTGTTGCTGACAGACTCATAACCATAAAACACAAACTACACCACACATCACTGCCAAATAAATTTAATTTTCTTATAGAATTCTGATTATATCAATCCCAGTCAAATATTTTTTGCCCTGTTTGGAATAGAATCCCTGGCTTTGGACACACTGGAAAAATGTTCCAACACTGAATTATATCTAAGCCCTTTAAAGCATTTTTATCATGAAATTTTCTACACATTAAAGAAGTAGAAAGATAACATGGGAGCCTGTTGTACTAGTTTATCCAACTTCCAAGCCGTATTATAAGCTATTTCCCTTTACATTGCAGAAGCTAGTCTTTAACTCAAGCAATCAAGTTGGTCTTTGAGCCCTGGCCCCCCTGACTCTACCTCCCAAGTACTGGGATTCGCAGCATGTTCCCTAACTCTGATATCCCTGCAGCAATGGAGTAACATGGCGCACCTTTTCAGGATGATTTTTCTTTTATGACCTGTGACACTGGTTTTTTGGTTCTCCTATTTAAATTTTAAGATTTATTTTATTATTTATTTATATGTAGGTTTTGTATCCATATGTAGGCACATGCATTCATGTGGATGCCCACAGAGGCCAAAGACATGTTGAATCCACTGGAACTTGAGCTACAGGTAGTTTGTGAGCCACTAACATGGGTGCTGGCAGAACTAGGATCTTTTGGAAGAGCAGCATGCATTCCTTAACGCTGAGCCAGCTCTCCCTTTTTTGTGGTTTTGCTGAGACTACACTTCTCATAACTCAAACTGGTTTTGAATTCCTAATCTTATCTTCTCCAAAATGCTGGATTACAGGTGTGTACCAACACCTCAAACTTTGTAATGATTTTTTTAAAGACAGGATTTCTCATTTTGTAACCCAAGCTAGCCCAAATCTACACTAAGCAATCCAAACTGGTTTTAAACTCACAGACAGCCTCTTACCTTAACCACTGAAATGCTGGGATCACATAGATAAGTCAGCATTCTTGGCCCACAATTTATCAATCTGAACCTGAAAACTGGCAATGATTTATTCATATATGTGTGTATGTGCCTGTGTGTGAGTGTATGTGTGTACAGGTGTATACATGAGTGCCTGTGAAAGCCAGAAGACTTCAGAACTCCTGAGACAACTTTCCAACCCCCTGAACCTGAGTTTAAATTAATTAAAACAACTTAATTCCTTCTTGTATACTTCTGCATTCTGTGGTAAGTAATCAGTGAACACTTACCTTGTTTCATCTTTGGGTCTGCAACCATCATTCTGTGAAGGACCTTTAACAACAAATTTAAACAAAATAAGATTCAAGAGAGTAATTTTCAACTAAAACTAAAAGAAAAGCAAAACCTTTTATTAAATGATTAAACCTTCCTAGTACATAATATAAATCCAAACATAAATTTTAAAGGGAAAATACAAAGATGCTCTAATTGTTCAATTCTATACATATTGGTATTCAATAGGAGATTAGTTAAGATGTTTTACCCACACCCTACTTCTGCATTTTTTTTAGATATATTTTTTACTCTGATTCAAACCCAGTATTAAGTCATTTTCCAACCTCAGGCTGGCACTGAACTCCTCATGTTTCTGCCTCAGCTTTGATAGGGTTAGAGCTCATACACAACTTTTAACCATTTTATCTGAAATATGGAAGAAAATTACTACAATAGCAAACGGACAATATAAACAACTCTGAGATAGCAAAGCCAATTAATAACTTTCCTGATATAAAGGAGCTGAAAAAAAAAAGAACTCAGAGAAAATGAAAGACACCAAGAACTCTCTGAGAGGAAGACTATCTGAAAAAACAAAAACCAAGTAAGTTTCAAAGAGGCCCAAAGGCATGCCATAATGTTCATGCATTCTTCCAATTTTATTCACAGATAGAAGAGGAAAACTAAAAACTGCTTACGAACTCAAGGTGAACAGTCTAGGCACAACAGGCAAAGAACAAAACTCCCAAGATACAGCCACAATTCCAACAGTAAAATTACCAGAATACCATACCATAGCACGTAACTGTATTATGCCACAGCTAGCAAGAGTGGTAAAAGTCTACTATTTTTCTTTTTTAAGTACTGGGGATTATAGAAATATACAGTTAAAAATAACACAGTAGAACGGATAAAATGTGGAGTTGCTTTGTAATTAAAAATGTTTAAAAATCTACAGTATTAAAAACAAATGAGCCGGTGGTAGTGGCGCTCGCCTTTAATCCCAGCACTAGGGAGGCAGAGTCAGGCGAATCTCGTGAGGTCGAGGCCAGCCTGGTCTACAAGAGCCAGTTCCAGGACAGACTCCAAAGCTACAGAGAAACGCTGTCCCCAAAAAATAAAAAAATTAAAAACAAATGAACAAAACATTTTACCTCAAAAATATGCTAAGTATGGGCTGGCAAGATGACAGGCAAAAGTAAATGCCACTAAACCTGATGACTTGACTGTGACCCCTGGACCCCATCTGATGGAAGGAGAGAACCAACGCAGAAAAGTTGGCCTCTCACCTCCACACTTTCACCATACTCATACACCTATATACATACAAACACATGTAATAAATACAATAACAATTTTTATAAAAACACATTAACTATACATCTGAAATGAGCCTTATGATATACAAAATGTACTCTAATAAAGTGTTAAGAGAGGTCTCTAAAATCATGACATAGTGTTTGGCAGAAAGTTCTCTGAAGTTGGTGGTGAGGGGTTGAGTGATCTCCAGCAGAGCAATCACATAGTACAAATTTACCATGTGGATAGATAGACTTGAGGAGTTCAAGCACCAGAGCGTCAGCTTGCCCAAGGACACAGCCATATTGGTTCCTAGAACACATTTGATGTCTGAATCTAATTGAAGAGATCTTGGCATTCAGCAGAGTCAGGAGGGTGGGTGACCTCATATCTTACTGTTCTAGCAGCCATTATCCAAGAAGCCAAAGAAAGGAAGCTGCGAGCCACCTTTCAGCATCAAGCTTTATGCATCTGTCCCTACTCTCACATCTTCCTGACAGCGGGACTATACCGCTTCCTTCTCACTGTGATATTTACAGGACGTTCAATCCACTGTTTGAATGTGCTGGTACCTGCTTTGCTTCTTGAGTCAAGCCAACAATGCCACAGCCCTGTCAGATGTATGTGACTCCAAAGCCATAGTGTGCTCCACATCCAGCAGGCCACATCTGCTACACTGAGCAAGTGTCCAAGGATCAGTTCATGGCTGTTACAGGGAAAGTATGAATTTGTTGTTGTGGTTTTCCTGTATTGGGAGTTGTATTTATGGTGACTTATGGATTTACGTTTCAATATATTGGAAACTTTCCATTTTACTTGACAAATCTGTTACATGTTATAAGCTTGATTAAAGAGTTTTTATAATCTTAACAAAAAAATCACACCAAAATGGAGTTGCAGATAAAACTCACTTGGCAGAATGTTTAACATGCACAAAACCCGGGTTCTGAGCCCCAGCACTTGCACACACCAGGTGTGATAGTTCCCATTAGTTATCTCACCAAGAAAGAGACTGCCATGAATTCAAGGTCAGTCTGGGACACACAATATATTACAGGTCAGTCTGAGCTCCACTGTCAAACTGTCTCAAAATAAAATGAAACAGTATTTTTATGTGTATTATATTTGCTTATAATGATTGATATATGGGACATAAGTGGAACAAGAAAACTATACCATACATATATAATAAAAAAGCCACTGGTGGGGGTGGGGGTAGCTTGGCAGATAAAAGAACTTGCCAACCCTCACAACCAGAGTTCAATTCTGGAATCTGCATGCAAAGTCAAGACACAGTGCATCCATAATCCAACACTCCTAGAGCAAGACAGAGGCAGAGAGAAATGTCTAGAATCTCTCAAGCCAGCTGCCTGGAGTGTGCAGCACAGCAGCCAAAAGAAGAAGCTCTGTCTTATCTAGGTAGGAGGTGAAAACCAACTCTAAAACTTGTCTTCTACACAACTGACCACTACACATGTGCTGCACCACAGGGGTATCTCATTCATACATACATCACACACACATTCATGCATGTGCAACACAACCACAATAAATAAACAAGAAAAACATCCAAATTCTAAATGCACATGTTTTCACAGGGAACTCTGGGAAAGCTATAAAGACTCCGCCTCAGAGAGCTGAATTAAAAGAGCACTCCCAGCACAAAGTAACTAGTTCCTAAAAATATTAACATATAGTCCTTGGCTACCAGGCAACCTCAAGGGTGAACAAAAACTTGATCTAACATACCAGAATAGAAGCAGAACACAGCTTTAAAACACTTTATCGTGTGGCAGTTACCAGCTCTGAGAAAGTACAAGGCCTCAGGCCAGCAGCAAGGTGGGGAGTGCTGAAGCAGACACTGCACGTTAGGCTAGGGACTGTAGAAAGTAGATAAAATGTTTTCAGATGCAGCAAACCCTGGCACTATCCAAAGCAAAAGACATTTTCTCTGAAGCAAAGAACTCCCAAATTAGGCCTTTAAAATTCTGATAGACTAAGATAAAATGGAAATTTGCCATCAAAGAACATGAAATAAAAATCAAAACAAGCCCCACAAAGGGAACAACAAAATCATTTCTAAGTTAACATGGTGGTGCATGCCTATAATTTTAGCACTCAGGACTCAAGAGGAGCATTCAAAAAAACTGTTGCAAACTTCAGGCCATCCTGGTTGTCTACATAGTGAGCTCTGGGGCAGTCAGTTTTACATACCAAGACTCTGAAAACACCAAAAAATAAAAAAATAAAAATCACTTATATCCCCAAAAGTTTTAGAAAGTATAACTATTAACTGGAAGATATAGAGGAAAATTGTGGATTAAAAGAAAATTAATAAGCCGGTGATGGTGGCACACGCCTTTAATCCCAGCACTAGGGAGGCAGAGGCAGGCGGATCTCTGTGAGTTCGAGACCAGCCTGGTCTACAGAGCTAGTTCCAGGACAGGCTCCAAAGCCACAGAGAAACCCTGTCTCGAAAAACCAAAAACAAACAAACAAACAAACAAAAAAAACAAAAGAACACATAATCCAGTAAAAAGATGGAGTACACCTAAACAGAGAACTCTCAACAGAGGAGTCTAAAATGGCGGAAAGACACTTAAGGAAATGCTCAACATCCTTAGCCATCAGAG